ATAAAGTACTGGCTGTACCTTTAAGTAATACTGATTCAGATGATATATTTATATCAGAAACAATGATTTATAATATAGAAAATTCATTACAATGCACTACTGAGAAATGTTTCTTATGTAAGTAGAAGAGAATTAGTTTAACAAATAAATTACTATAACATTGAAGCTATCAAATGATTTATATTTTTTTTAGTATCAATGAAAGATAATGATAGTTTTGCCAAGGAAGCTAAAATTTCTATGATTTCTGTACCATATGAGATCTCAGACAATTTAATAAATGCTCTATTAGAGAGTTATTTCTCTGAACCAAAATTTTTGAGAAGGAATGATTTATTTGGTATTGATATAAGAGAACAAATATTGGATCAAATGTATTTACATAACAATCCTACAACATCTGTAATATATTTTAAAGTCAATTCTATTACAATGAGTAGTAATGAAAATGATGGCTCTACTAACAGTGCTTATATTTTACGTGGAGAAACAACACTTATACAAGAGCCAAATGTACATAGTTATCTACCTCCAAGACATTTTTATTCTGATCAATCCAAAGAAATGAAGTTATATCCAGCGTGTTTGGAAGTACTTTTAGAACATTTAGAACATTGTATTTCGCCATTTATTAAACGTGGTAAGAATTAGTGATTAAGTGGACAGTAATAACTGGCGAGTATTTAAATGGGATATTTAGTATCATATTTTTCTATAGATGTCCAATTACCCTTAAAGCCGATATTCCTTATCAAGGGTGCACAAGGTTCAAATAAAAGTACATTAATTCAAATCTTGGTTGAGAGGATGGGCTTACATTTTCTTAATGCAGACTTTGCTGAAGTTCAAGCCTTAACATCGGCACAGACAGAGGCCAAACTGCGTATTGTATTGCACAACGCCGAACAGTCGGTGCCATGTATGCTTTGCCTAAACAATATAGAGGTATCTTGATTATATCTGAAGCGTATACGCACACTTCCAATATCTCTGTATTTATATGATGTACAGACATTTTAAAAAGTAATGTCCATAGGTGTTTGGAAAAAATTCTGAAGGTCAGAAGGACGAAAGAATCATATCGACTTTCTTGAACGAAATAAATTCATTGTATGAGAAGAAATTGAAATATCCAATTGTTATAGTAGCCACGACAAGCGAGTCTGATATACCTGCTGAATTAAACAGAATTTTTATCGAAACCATTCACGTGGAGAATCTAGATCAAAAAGAAAGAACGGATTTAATCTCATGGTTTCTCGCACGAAGAAATCTCGATTATCAAGCAAATCTATTAAAAATTTCCGGTATATGTTCAGATTTCAGATACTCAGATTTATCAGCGTTAATATTGCACGCCGTGAAATTCCATTGTAAAAATAATGCTATGAATTCGAAATCTTTAATTCTTACGCAGGACGATTTTGACAAAGCTTACGGTAATAATTCAACGTTGTGAAAATAATAACTTCCTGCATCATGTCATTCTAAATCTTTACAACTCTATTTATAGAATACATGCAATCGATATATACAGATTGCAAAGGTGCACCGCGCGTACCAAAAGTTTATTGGGAAGACATAGGTGGTCTTGCGAATTTAAAACATGAGATAATGCGTCGAATTCAGTTACCTCTGATGAACGCGCTGGGTTTCGGACAGTCTGGACTTCTTTTGTACGGTCCACCTGGGACTGGAAAGACGCTTCTAGCTAAAGCCGTAGCAACAGAATATCAACTTCATTTTCTATCCGTCAAGGGTCCAGAAGTATTAAATATGTATGTCGGTCAAAGTGAAAAGAACGTCAGACAAGGTAAATCTTGAATGTACATGTCAGATATGATTCTATAATCGATGTGAAAAAGGAACGAGTCTTCTTACATAGTTTTTGAGCGAGCGAGGGACGCAGCTCCGTGCATAATATTTTTCGATGAACTGGACTCGTTGGCCCCCAAACGTGGACGAAGCGGTGACAGTGGTGGCGTAATGGACCGTGTAGTATCTCAACTGCTTGCCGAGATGGATGGTCTTGATTGCTCTAGCAACATTTTCATTATAGGGGCTACAAACAGGCCAGATCTCATAGACCCCGCTCTCCTCAGACCTGGTAGATTCGATAAATTATTATATGTAGGCATTCATTCCGATCGAGATTCAAAACACAATGTCTTGAAAGCGTTGACGCGTAAATTTAAGTTCCGTGAGGGTGGAGATGAATTGGAAATGCTTATAGATCAATTACCCATTCATACAACCGGTGCCGATTTGTATTCCGTTTGCTCGAATGCATGGTTGAACGCTGCGCGTAAGATCTTAGAATGTTGTCAAGATAGTTCCGAAGAAATTAAACTGAACGAGTCTATTGTGGTAGAGTTTGAGGATTTTTTAAAGGCTGCGCGCGATTTAGTCCCTTCGGTCAGTAAAGAAGAGGCGGAAAGATATAAAAGAATGCAAACAGAATTATCATCAGTATCGTAATATGCTTTTCGTGAGAAGCATATTAAGTCAAATATCTTTCAATCATATAAACGAGGTATCGTTTTATTTCGGAAAAATATTGTAAGACAATTTTTACAATGAATAGTTAAATCAAGAGTATCTACAATCTATCCTAGATATTGCACCAAACGGTTAAATCTTACATGCTAGTGCGATGAAGGACACAGCAAAGTGCCAAACCGTTTTTATTTTCTTTCTTTCGGGGACACGGTTTTCGAAACGGTTCCCCGTCTTCATTATACGTTACAATGTTGTATCAATTTAAAATGCAATGTAGAAAAATGTAATAACTGGATCAAATATGAGATTTTCTACGATCTTCCTTACGGATATAGTAACTTGGTTTGAATGATTAAATGCAAGTTGATGATGAATCAAATAAACGTGTATTTTTTTAACTGGCTATTAATCAACTTAAATAGAACGTTTCTGCCCATAAAACAAGAATATTCACAATTTTACAAATCGCAACCGTAATACGCCTTGACTCGTGCCCTAATTCCCTAAATAATTTAATTGCATTCTCCGAAATATACAGTCTACGGTTTCAAACGAGTCGTTTCTGTTAGATAGACGGTATTAGATAACGCATTTCGCTCAATTATAGAACAACGACATTCCCTTTGGTATGATGGCGAGGTAGAATCGATCCGATGCGATTCGTTACAAGAGAATACTGCACTCCTCTCTCATTGACAACGAATGTATTACGCGAACAAAAAGTATTTGTACATATAAATTTTAAAATCATCACAAATTTCTTGCTTTTATATATTTGTTCAGATATGAATCGATATGAGACAAAAGTCACAGAATTACGAAGGATTGCTGTTTGTACGTACACTAAATTATTTTATAACTACGAGTATTTTTATGCCTGAACTTTCAGTAAATTATTCAGCAAGAGTTATTGAATAAATAAATATTATTTCGGAGTAAATTGCTTTTTTTGGCATTCGTTTCTTTCTATGAATAGTTGAATATCAATTAACAAGTTCTCACTTTCATGAATCGATTTGAATATTGTTCATTGTGTGTGCAATTAAAAATGATTAACATATAAGTATCACATTTGATAAATAACGCTAACTGTTGCACGCGAACGACAAAGTATTCTTTGTGCATAACACTATCGATCCTACGGAGTAGGTAAGAAATTCGAAAAAGTTATTCTCCTTTGTATTGAATTTGGAAAAAAGAGTAGAGACTGGCTGGTAATTAAAATTAATTTTGTGTCTGTAAAAGATATTATTTTACATATTTCATAAAAATCTTATCCAAATACTCCTTTTTCCAAGCAAATAGAAAGGGGAATATACGTATACGTATATATCATATAATATATATTAACAAAAAAGAGAGAATCTTTTTTTTTACATTAGCCTATTGATTTTGGCCACTGTACAATAATGCGAGAATTCTCTCCTTAAAAACGTATATTTATTATTCATATTAAGTAAATCGAGAAATGGTTATTAGTCTATACAAAAGGTGAACTATTTACGTCGGAAAAATGTAACAGCAACTTTTGTTTGCCATCGATCACGGAAGTCGGAAAAGAACTTTGTACTTAGTAGCCGCAAACTATTTCTCGTCAATTTCAACTTCTATTTCTTTATTTATTTATTTGTAACACTCGTCACACCTTTTCGCAGTTCTAAGCAGTCTTCTTTTATTTGTTTGTCTGTATTGTGTACATATTTATACACGAGTACATATTTAGCGAGAGAAATACACTGGCATTTCGGAACACCTCCATTCACAAATATCTTTCATTCACGTAGCACGAAATTAAAGAGGAATCGACGCAATGATTTGCATGCGAAAAATGATCGAGGACATTGAAGACTAACTCTGGCAGGACACCTCTGCCTTTGGTGGCTTCTCAGCCTTGTATTGCTCGAATTATGAGAACGTCTGAGCTTACAGAAACGATAGCTTTCCCAGCAACAAGATAGCAATTTTCTATACGTTTCTGCGCATAATGTTCATCAAAAGTGCTGCCAGTAGAACTAGTTATGAGCCCTTGGTATTTGATCCTGGAACAAAAAAGCAAGAAAGCAAATGTTAATAACTATTTCATTATACCGTGTCAAAGTGATCAGACGTACTAATTTTTTCTAACAAGAAGAATATTCGTTTAAAAGGACCATAAACTGACAGGGTAGTTGCCGTAAATGAGTCCGTTAAGTTCTTCTCTTTAGGTTTGCATTTTACGCATACCTGGTCAAGACGATTTCGTAGCAAATTCGTGCAGTATGTCGCAAGCCATTTCAAGATCGTTCCTAGTAATACCAAGCGCCCTAATTACGGCGTCTTGCGCGAATCCTTGTGCTGTCAGCTTCGAAATGTGTTCGACGTTCACGTTCTCGTACGCCGCAAATTCCGGTTTAGTGGGACCAGCGGGATCGTCCTTACCTCTCATCAGGGCGGACAATCGAGCCGTATTTGCTTCCAGATTAATGTTCCTCACGACGTGCTGTCTTGTACCGGGTATCACGATCGTATTTTCGTAGTGATGGTCCTGTTTGTTGTGCTCTTTCGCTTTAGGCGGACGAGGTACCGACAAGGGTGGTGGTACTGGCGGCACATTATTGCTGGTAGCGATCTGACTGCCCGTCGTTATCAGTGACCCGTTATTAGCACGACTAGGTTTTTCGGGTAACGTTGGCGGTGGCTGCGGTTGCGCTACGGATACGTGATTCGCTTGTGAACGACGCGAGTGGCCGCGGGATACCGCGAATGGTACCGGGGGCATCATTGGCGGTATCGGAGATGGCGAGGAAGCACGATGAAGCATATCGTATCCTGCTTCAGCGTTCACTGGAAAAATAAAGCAAATAATTGTATCAGAAACAGATTGGGCAAATTGTTGATAAGTTCTGATTTTGCATCGCTTACAGTTATTATTCTGCTGATTGTCGGTGTTTGAATTAAACGTGGTGTTGACCGTTGACGAGGACGGTGGCGGTGGGGCATTCTCTTTGGGAACTGTTAAATGACGACCATTTCTGGAGTGACTATTCGGCGTCGGCGATGGAGATGGTCGGCGGGGAGGTAACGGTGGGCTGGGTACGATTCGACGCGTCAAAAGGGGTGAATTCGTCGGGCTGAAGTCTTCTTCATCTGAGTCATCACACATTAATCCGCAATTTCCTGTACACAAATCCAGGATTTCCTAAAACATCGAGAATGAAGATTGATGGATTAATTCAAGTATTGGATTAACAGCATCTATTATTTTTTGTAATATCATTTACTGTTACTCGATGCAAGGAATTTACACGGACGCGTGTGCAATATACTTTGGTAAATAGTACATGTAGTCGATTATCACATTCTAAACGATTTCCTCGAGTACTGATTGAACAAACATATTCAAATGACGCGCTCGAAAATGAAAAGAACGTGGTAAAAATACCTGTACACGGAAAGATATCACAATTAAAAAATCGAGCATAATTACAAAGCGGTAAAGCGAATGGCCAGAATGCATTTGTTCACTTACCTGCGTTCAGTGGGTCATAAACACGTTTTCTTCAGCTATGTACATTACCGATTAGTTTTCGATCATGCAGCAGGCAGAGCAATGGACCCAGTAGATAACGTTATGAAATAAAGATAAACGATCATGCGAACGATATAAAACCTTAGTTCATTTGATAATACATAAATTCCCTGTTGCTGGAACACTGATTCAACATATTAAAAAAAAGCACAACAAATCCAGCAAAAGGTTTACATGTACACAATATGCAAAAGTAACTCGACGTAACAATAATACAATTATATTTATAAAAAGAAGTGGACAAGAGAAAGAAAGACGAAAGAGGAAAAGAGAACGAGACATCTCTCGGTTTACCTAATATTTTACAATGAGCAAGGAAGAAATGTACGCTATAGTTTATAATGTTTAATGAATTATTTATTTTAGACCACTTTCTGCTGGCTACGCACAGCATGAATGGACCTGAACGACTTGATCAATTAGCAGCACTATTCATTGTACAAATTACGCTAATGGCTACACGTGAAACGCAGTAAAAAAAATCTATCCTTTAATTTCGAGTTCCTAGTGCAAGATGTATATGGTTATAAATCTCTTCTAATGGATGTAGGCGTACGTAATATTACGCTTAAAGAAAGTATCACTCCCCTTTCTGTATCGTTAATATGCCAATCTATGTGTTAAAAAAAACATATACCTTCAATCGCTTTTGCATGCATTGATGCACACAGGATCTGCGGTATTAGAGTATATCTGATTGTAAAATGAAAAAAAAAGTACGTATATACCACAGCATCGAAATTCGGCATGAAGTGCTACTAGTATACAATTAGTGGTAATACCTCCTCGAAATTCATTTTTATGTGAATGAATAAATAATAAATATTCTAGAGTAATGAAAATAATAACATCTGTTCCCTGGTAAAGATGTCGCATGTTATTACATTGTTTCTATCGTCGACAGGTACGTAATTAATTCTAATAAAATACAAAGAGCGATGAATGATTTCAATTCATCCATAGGCCACGTAGCACTTCTGTTGCTCGATCTAAGCTACGTTACTTCCATCAAAAGATCACTTTGTTTTATCAGTTTTCTTTTTTTCTTTTAAATCATTCTCTTCCGTTCTATATTTTTACTACGTCACTGGTCATATTCGTGAATGATCATAAGACGATATATCTATTAACAAAATACCATTCGATAAAAAGGATTCGAATTCCTTTAAAATGAAATATAAAATTCGGAATATCGAATCAATCCTATGAAATGAATTTCGTTTACAACGAAAGATTTTTTTAACTGGGAATCCAACGCAAATTTAAGAACAAATTAATATCCTATAGGATAAAAATATTACAAATGTTCTATTTGGTAAATTATGCAACTGTATATGAAGCAATTTAACTTCACGTCTTGTATGCATACACCGTAAAGAAGACATTGCCAGCTATATATTGGCACATGCATTTTAGATATGATCCGATTTTCTCGATTTCTCGAGTAAAAATCTTTAAATCTGTTTTACAGGAAGCGATTCGTGTGTAATGCGATTATAATAAATCTGACACGGGAATCAACTACACAATGTTATCTCTAAACGTTATGTTTCGTTACTTTAAATAAATTCTTGCACAAGTACAATGCGGTAATACGCATATTAAAAGAGACGACATTTCATTTCACGAGAATATCAATTATAAATTCGAACGCTTTGCAGTAAGTAAACGAACCATGAGTTGTACAGTCTAAGCCATCGACTTCGTAATGCAAGAAAGCAACCTACCTTCGGGTCTCTATAATTCGAAAGATTATTTCATAAAAGCAAGTATCGATGTAACATGTTAGACAGACGAATTTGAAGAAATACATTAACATTCAAATATTTCTTGTAATAATTCTACTTATATGTAAAAAAAACTAATAAAAAAAAAAGATAAAAAAGCCGATTCGAATAAGGCTCATACAGAGACAAAAAAGTTGGTCCCTTTTTACATTGTTTATCTTCCGAAATGATTAAACTTTAATTCGTATTTAAACTTATGTACCTCGCGAGAGGTAAATACGTTCGATGATAATAAAATGATATGACATGACAATTGTATAAACTCGAGATCTCACATGAAATGCATGAAGCATTCTTTAAAAAATGAGGCATGTTGCTGGGAAATTGTTATACATAGAGCACATTTAATATAATGAAGGGTAGGTGCTACTCCTAGTCGGATACCTCGGTGTCCGGGTCAAGGTCCCGTGTAGGGGTTGACGCGTTACTAACAGATGCTGATTGTGTTCCTGGTCGATGCGTTCTTCGTGGGTCAAAAGGATCGATTACTATTTGTTCGGTTCCTTTAATCTCAGCTCGACAAAATGGACAACCCTGCCCCTCAGAATCCTGCAAATATACACATTTCGCTTTTTTATACAATCTTATTGGATCCAAAATTATATTGGTAAAACTGTAAGAATGTATATAGTCAATACCTGCCAAGCTGTGAGACATGGTGTACATAACAGATGTCCACAAGGTTCTATCCTCACATCTTTGTCATTCTCTGCACAAATTTTACATAACTGGAATGTGCTACCCATCTCACAATACAATTCATATTGTTCTGCTGTGACTTTAATGTGTTCCTCTGGTGTGGGTTGAACAGCCCATGTTAAATCTGGATTTATATTACGGCCATCAGGATACAGGTAACTGAAAACAAGTTAAAGTCCCAGTAATTTTTTTTATACCAGTAGGAACATTTGCTCTTACATATAATAAAACAAACTGCTTACAATCCTTCTCTATATCCATCTAGCAGTGCTTGACAGAGACTTTTATTGTGAGGTATCGTTTGAAGAATATCTCCATCCGATGTAACATAACCAATTGCCCATTGCCCTAACCTTGTGCAACTTAGTCTGAATACGTAACTTCCAGGTCTAGTGCTACAATATTTTTGTAAACGCGCTTTCACTTCATCATAAGTGAGGAAAGCCACGTATCCAGGATGTGTCACAGCCAAAATTTTCCAGTTACGTAAAAGAGTGGACCATGGTTGAAATAACCTTCAGTCACAGATTGATTTATTACATTTCGATTGATTCAATAAGAGAAAATATATAGTTGCATTATAAGTGTACTTACCTAGTAAAGACGTCGAATTCAAAGTTCGAAATGTAATCATTGCACGTGAGATCTATCGTGGATTTCAATGCCATGGCTTGCAATCCAGAACTAATGGGATGAACTTCATTCAATTTTTCTTTAAATACCTTCCATGGTACCAGTGTGCTAAAAACAAATGTAAAAACTACTTGTTAACACAAGAAGTGATCATCTCGATACTTCAATTTAAGGTTGCGTGACATTTACTTTATTCAGAAAATAATATATTGCTTATACGAAAATGAACATCATATTCAATTGTCGGGATAAAAGTCAATTTATCAGTCGCCAACGTTGTTTCCTATTGTAACAAATTTGCTAATGTGTCATCATGCAAGTGTATATAGTACTTGCACATGAGCAGATAAATGCTATATCACGATATACTCTGTTCAGTTCAGCAGAATTTAGAACCGGCGCACCAGTGTGAAGGCTCATCGTCTGGAGTGTAGTCGTGTTTCACGTTTTCTCTTTACAAAGTTCAACAAATTATCTTTGGTAAGATAGTTTGACTTATTTCATTGCATGGTCGAGCATAATCATTCGCACACGTTTTTATTATATACGCAAAAGAATACAGAATTAAAATGTAGAACAATTCGGCGTAGAAACTATCAGATGGCTCGTGCACTTTGCCGAACCAAGATACCTCAGTTTTGTCCGGTGAACGGCAGATGGCAATCGATTTAATCTGCTGCGCAGAAACAACACGCTCAATGTTTTTCATCATTATTAAAGCAAAATGTTCTAAATTTCATTCTATTTTATACATATCATCCACATACAACTAATATTTGAACAATACCTTCACATTTGACACAAATTTAACGACCAGCGTATATTTTTACGTATATATTTGCCTGTTTTTGGGAATCAGTAATCACGTTATAAAATTACGTACTGTATTGTTTGACTAAAAATTTTATATAATATACTATATAATAATATATATAATTTTACGTATCATGTTGTATGTACAATGTACACGGAGTTTGCACTGACGATTTCAGGAACCCTTTACTCGGCATATACATATACGCATAGCGAAGAATGCGTTTTTTAAAACTGCTGGTGCCGTTGGGCTTTAAAAATGTTATCCGAAATGTTTCAGGCACGTAATTTTACAAGTTCCTTAGCGTGGAGTTTCATAAAAGTCAATAAGACGAATAGTTGCAAAAACTGAAGCTGTATTTTTATTACTAACGATTGCATGGCGGTAGTATAATAAAGTCGTGAACGATTTTACTATTTTGGCATAGGCATAATTGCTCTCAACGTACGCAATTGTATTCAAGTAGACCTTAAATAAAGTTTAGATATACGTTTTACCTGTGCGGAAATTCATCTTATTTACGATATACATCATCTTACGATATCTTACGAAATATCTGTGATCATAGTATATACGACGTGATGTCTGATATTATCCTATAAGGATAAGAATACGTAAGAAAGTTGAGAGAGTACAATTTTTGAATTGATATATCATTTTTTGAATTGCTAAATTTATGAAAAATTGGACACGAAAAATATTATACTATTTGGAGAGTGAAGCGAATGTCTATTTAGGTTCCATGTCTTGATTAGTCTTTCTTCAAATAACAAAAATCCCTAAAATTCTAACGATATTTTTATCATACTTTTATATGAATTAAAAATGTGATTAGTACGTGTGTCAAGGTAAAAAAGTAGTTTAGTCACGCAATTGATAACACATAGGTAACTACCCATCAATAATAAACACAACCTTTGCACGCTGTGTCATACATTGAGCATGAGAAAGTTGCAAGTAATCGTTGTACGACGAAGCTACTAAGTTAGCACGGCATTTCTCTAGAATTATTATAATGATCAAGGTTAACATTTAAAGTCTAATGATAAGTTTTCCACTGTATTTTTTCCTCACAGAAATTTAATGAAATATAATAAAAAGTAGGAAAAAATTGTAGAAATTAAATATCGATATAGGTCTTTCTACAATTAGTCTTGCTAGCAATAATGCCAAATACGAATTCATATCATGCTCCTCGTTAAATTAACGAATGTTTTCTTGTATTTTTATGTAACTTGTCGCTTACAAGAACACAATTTATAATTTGTAGTAATTCACTTTTATCCCTAAATGACTGGATGAGCTTATCGTGAATCGGTTTCATTATATTGAACATTTCGAATCATTTTATCATATATACGCCTGCGTACATATTTACGTTATCGCTTGGAATCTAAGATAAAGGAATCTAGAGATAATGCTGGACGTCAATCAATTACAGTTGTCGCAGTAACCATGAATGGAAACGACAATTACAAGGAAGCAAAATCGATATACGATTTTACTGCTAAATCAGTCAAAGGCGAAGATGTACCCTTATCCAAGTAAGTGATAAATTATTATTACTATCATTCATTTAGATCTATGAAAATAATATAATTCCCGATGTTATTTTGGGTTTATAGATATGAAGGCCACGTTTGTTTGATTGTGAACGTAGCGTCAAAATGCGGCCTTACGGCAACGAATTACAAAGAATTGAATGAACTGTTCGATGAGTACGCAGAGTCCAAAGGTGGGATACAGAATTTATAAGATTTAGTATGGTTCAATTTTTTTCGAGGAAGTACAGGATTAACGTGTTTATAGGTTTACGAATTTTGGCCTTTCCGTGCAATCAGTTTAATGGACAGGAACCGGGAGACAGCAATGACATATGCAGTTTTGCTGATCGGCAAAAAGTAAGTATAAAATAAAAATTTCGAATATCTCTTTAATTTTCATTGACTACATAATTGCATATTACTTCAGGTAAAGTTTGATTTATTCGAAAAAATTGATGTCAATGGAGACAACGCGCACCCACTGTGGAAATATTTGAAGATGCAGCAAGGTGGACTGTTCGGTGACTTTATAAAATGGAACTTTACCAAATTCATCGTGGACAAACAGGGACACGTAGTGGAACGTCATGGACCAAACGTCGATCCCAGTAAATTGAAAAAGAATCTTGAAAAACTCTTCTGAATACTTTTCTAATACTGTTAAATGCGCAGTCAAAGATATGCACTGGTAGTACTGTTTATTAATATATTTGACACATGCGAAAGTGATGCATAGATTGTAAATCATTCCTGTTCTACGACATGAGAAGTGTTTTAAGTGTTTTTAAGAAATTTCTTTACCACTCACAGCTTTGAGACATATAGTATTTATTTCATACAGTTGTTTATTTAACACGCATCTCCTATAATTGACAGGATCATGTTATACTTTTTTTTAACTTGCAGGCAATATTTAATTTTACATTAAAGAGTAAACAAAGGTATCCTTGTATTAAATGTACGTGTGTGTAGAAGATATTAAAAAAGGATGTATTTACGGTAACACCCACGTTCGATAATTGACCCTTTCGATTCTTCAAACACAATTCATTTGAATGTTCTCGCATTTAAAAATGACGCACGATTATAGATTTCATCGATAACACGCCTTGTCTTTTTTCATGCCGGTGAACGTGCTTATTTTCGAGTAGCGTCACGACATTTACATTCGTTCCTGACCTTGAGTATTTTTAGCACGTTTAGCACATTTTATTTAACCATCAATTGGGATCCATTCTATCTTTTTCTTCAACGAAGTTAAAAAAATTAAACACGATCAAAACGTTGTTCAATGTCGCGCGACTTTTTTGTAAATTTTTCAGTCCTTGGAATGAAATATATATACAACATGCCGATAGAAAGAAGTTTTTAACGAAAATTCGTCACGAAAATCGTAACAATTCCTCGTACGTGAAAATAGGTCGATGTATTCCGGACGCATTCGAGTAACGCGATGACATAATTACAAGCCACCGTGTGTTTCGAGCGGGTCAAGGATGAAAAGCAAATACTCGACCCGTTCTCCATCAAATATTCCTTTTCTTTCATTCAGACCATTTAAAATTAATACACTTAGAAAGTAGGCGGTGTATAATAGGCGGTATATCGGGTTAGCAAATTTTCTAGTTATTTAAGATCACACTTGAATCAAGAATTCTGATTCTATTACTGCACACATATGTATATTGCAGAATCAACAAACGGAAGCATTAACGAAGTAGAATCAGTTTTGTGTCAATGGAATTGAGTTAAAAAAAAAGAAACGAAACGATTCGTGGAGTCGACCGTCCTTCCTGAATTTCAATCCTGAGCTGCTTTACGTCACCATTAAAGTGGGTCACGTCCTCTATTGCAGGAGTACCATCTCGGAATTGAATGTTCCGCGATATACATACATATCCGTGCACGCGCGTACGTATATGTATGCATTGACGGTGCGTGGTTAACGTACGAAACGAAGCTGAGAGATACTAACGCTATAATTAGTCGTCCTTGCCTGTCGACTGATCCGAGGCTCGCCTCCATTCATAGATCGCAGCTTTCCCGGCTCATCATCCACCACTCCTCTTTCCATTTGACGTTTCCGACTTGTCCCATCCAACCATTCGAAATCGAATTGATTAGAACATCGAGTTATTTGTATTGGCTCGTAATGCGTAAACTTATGCCTTATAATTCAGATTTTATTTTATTTTATACATTTTTTTTTTCGACGGAAAGCCTCAAAGATGACTGCGAGAATCCGTATATTTTCGGTCTGGAAGCAGTCAACTCTGCAACTTTGAATTTGTAAGCCTGCTTCCATACGTACTTGTAGATCTCAAACGACCTTTTAGTTTATTAATGCTCCATTTAGTTTTTTTTTTACCACGTAACGGCAAAAGGAGCATTCTGACCTGAACCCGGAATTAACTATAGTCCATATACCTTTCGTATACCCAGTAAGGTCTCCAGTCATCGATGGTTACGTAGAATTACGCAACGTATAGCGAAAATACACCCATGGAAAATGTCAGTGGAACGGTCATACCGGCGCGTTTCAAGGATGCTCAGTTCGTTTCAAAGGTTGTGCACGCTTGTTTAAATCCGCCATACTGGCTTATTCCTTCATACCATCGTTAGATGCTTACATTAACCTTATTATCGGTGTTAGATCGAACACCATAGTCGTCGCTCCATTAATCCAGAGATGCTTTTAACTACACGCGATGTTCACATGCTCTTCTGGATCCAAGCGACGATGCGAAACCAACTTTTCATATTCAGTCTCATACTCAGACGATCGCTTTAAACGCGAAACATGCTCTGAAACACGATTTTGTTATTTCAGTCATCAAGTGAAATTTAAGCCATCGATACATGAATCTGTTTTAACGAATCCAGAAGAAAGCATGGAGTAAAAGAGAACGAGAGAAGTAGAACCCGGTCCGTGCGATTCGTACAGTTCGCTCCGTTTAATTCGCTTTAATCGCGACGTCACGTCCCCTTCCTTCCGCTTCGGCTCACGTCCGGATGCGAGCTTAACTGGCCGACCGCGAAAAGAGAAGAGGGAAACGGGCCTCTTTCGTTGTAACTCTTCAGACACGGATAGTTGATACGCATCGGGTCGGCTGGCCTCTATCAACCCCTGCGCCGACCGGAATTAATATAACGGGCAAAGTATCCTCCGGGACCGAGCACGCCTTTCACACACGTCAATTTTCCCACCTACGCCAATGTGACGCTTAAATATATGACCAGTTTAAATTTCGTCAATTTTCACATTTGCCAATTCACAGGCTTCCTAGAACGAGACTATCGCGTTTCGTTTACCAGATTAAGGGTCACAAAGTCTCTCCATTTTTTTTCTTTTTTTGTACACCCTAATTGTAAAATAAAATAATCGCACAGAGTTTTGTATTCTGTGACGTCAAGTTGAAATTTTGGAAAGTAGATTAAATTATTTATAAGAATGATTCTTTCGAATTCACAGTACGGAATGATGACATCACAATTTTGTCACGTTGTGAGATTACTAACATAGCTCGTTTTCTCCAAAAAAAAATATTAGGGAAGAAAGTCTCTTTTAAAATTGCCAGATGCCATTCTTAAAATATAAATTGTAAGAATTACGTGGTATTTTCTTTCTTTAACGTCAATGTTCACGAGATAAAACTTCGAAGACCTGGATATTAACACCGAGAGTAGATCGATGTCTCACAGACGCGACATACTGCGTCCGCGTAGTCGTGATGTTTTCGAGACACCAGAACTACCGTGGTGCACCTGATACGCAACATCTTGAGATTGAAGAAACAAAGGCACGCAAATGTAAGTGCACATACATATGTCGGGATTCACTTCGACGGAATCCCAAATATATTGATCGCTTTGCCGAAACATGGATCAAATTAGAGTTCTCTCTCTGTTCAGTTTCAGACAGGATGCGGTAATTCGGTGATTCAGTCTCCTTCCCTTCATTGTCAGTGTCCTCTATGAAAACATTTAATACATCGTGTCTCATAACTACGAATCGCATCAAATGTTATTACCTCCTTTGTACGTGCATTATTGAAATTCTGTTATAT